GATAGAAAAAGTATTTACTCCTCAACCCCTAAAAAAGTATGTTCTATATAGTATGAATGTGTGAAGTATGAATGTAATTTGGATATACTCAGAGGCAGACAGTAACTAAGTACATTTACTTGAGTATTCTTTTTTTATTTAAAGACAAATATTGTACTTTTCACTCCACTACATTTCTATCAAGATCCTGGAAGTAGAAAGTTGTTACTATGTAGCAGCTTTGAAAGTCAGTGGGTGATTTTTTTCTTCTCTTTTTCACAGTTTATCAGTAATCACTCTTGTAGGGCTACATGAAGTGATTTCTCAGCATTTTTTTAACACTGACCAGTTGCAAATGTGATATTTATAAGTTAATATTGTGGAATATATTAGACACAATATTGTCTAATTTTGCTAAATTGTGTAAGTGAAAATATTACCTATAAAGCCACAGAAGAACTGTTGTGCATCTCCTAATAAAACACAATAGGTGTGGGACTGAAGCTGCACTGCACATACCGTTCTGTGTGTGTCATCAAAGTACAGCGAGAGCGATTAGACAGCATTTTATAATTTTTGTTTTGATGTCAAATAAGTCTTGCTGTTTTGCTTTTTTGTTAAAGCAGTGTTGCTGTTGTAAAGTTGTACAGCTACAGTTGTGTTGCTGGGTTTTAAAGCAGGTTTGATTTTGTTTCTTCCTTATCACTCTGTATTTACAGAATTTCACTGTCCACTCTGTTCATATGTGGATGAATGGTTACACATAGATGTGTGCACAATGTCAGAGCTGTGTGAGATCACTACCATACTGCTTTTGTGGGGGTGGGTATAGGGTGTTAATTGTTTTTTCCCCATAGGTTTTTAACATTCTAAAAGCTCTTTATTCCAAAGATACTACAAGCTAGTCAGTGTATTCAGCAGGTGTAATGTATTCTAAGTTGCTTCAGAAGTATTGCAAGTAAGTACAGCGAGAGCGATTAGACAGCATTTTATAATTTTTGTTTTGATGTCAAATAATTCTTGCTGTTTTGCTTTTTTGTTAAAGCAGTGTTGCTGTTGTAAAGTTATACAGCTAAAGTTGTGTTGCTGGGTTTTAAAGCAGGTTTGATTTTTCTTTCTTTCTTATCACTCTGTATTTACAGGATTTCACTGTCCACTCTGTTCATATGTGGATGAATGGTTACACATAGATGTGTGCACAATGTCAGAGCTGTGTGAGATCACTACCATACTGCGGGGTGGGTATAGGGTGTTAATTGTTTTTCCCCCATAGGTTTTTAACATTCTAAAAGCTCTTTATTCCAAAAAATTCTACAAGCTAGTCAGTGTATTCAGTAGGTGTAATGTATTATAAGTTGCTTCAGAAGTATTGCAAGTATTACGTACAACAATAAAACTTGTGCATTGACATAAAAAAGGAAATTTACTTTTGGTACTTAAGTACTTTTAAAAGCAAGTACTTCTGTACTTTTACTTAAGTAAATATCTGTCTTTACAACTTTTACTTGTAATGGAGTAATATTTGACCAGCCGTATCTGTACTTTCACTCAAGTAATGGACTTTGTCCACCTCTGGATATACTACATTTGCCATGTTGTCTTGGTCATGTGACCTACCAGCATTAGTTGCTTTGTTTCACTGCTATGCACAAATCCTCTTCTGTGGCCTCATGGGATAGTAAAGTGTCCACTGGATGCACTCTTCAGAAACTAGTAGAGGTAGTAGGTCTTTCAGGTACTTTTTGCCTGCTGTTTCTTGAATACTGTGAATTCTGACATTCTTATCTTTTCACATACTGTTTTTGCCAATGAAGTATGCATATCATATATAATGCACTATTTAGGGGACTGCCATTTGTAGCAGTGTCCGACACCATGGGTCTTTCCCAATACCCACACCTGTGGTCTTTGCACTTGACCACTGGTCTACTTACATCATGTATTTCCAGAATTTGGCCCAAGTGCTCAAGTGCGCATTAAGACAAGTGTGGATACAACTTTTAATTACCCAATGGGACACTCTGACAATACTGTTGTAAAAATGCTTTTATGTTGCTTTGTTTACACATTTAGTATTTTCAATACTTTGCACTTTAAAGTAAACTTACAAATGTACTTTCAGTAGTCCATATGTAACGTCCAAAAGTATTTAATTGTGCTTCTAATTAAGTGATAAAAAGCAGTTGTAAACATTTTACAAAATACACAGACTCATCTCTGTGCCAATAAAATGTGCAACACTATGTTTTACTACCAAAATTATATGTAATATCTAGCTAATTTAACTTACTCTGTGTGTGTTTACGGCACTGAGCATTTGGCATTTTTCCGACCTGGGACAGCACTTCCTGTGATGTGCACGTGCACTCAAGTGGCCAAGACTGCAAGCAAGTGTGAGTATTCAACCCCATGATGCACAAAAACAAGTGTACTACTAATGTACACTCAACGACTAGCCACTACACTACAGTACCCACGCATTTGAGCATCGTGCCAAATGAATTCCCGCATCTTGCCAGAATATGGCATCTGCAGCATTTCCGGCACACTCAGTGTGTCTTTCAGTGGACTAAATTAGTAGAGTAATGTAGGAAATAATGAATGAAGAGTTTGTGGGAGTTATTTTTGGATATAGCATCAGTATTTTTAAACAAATCAGTTGAGTGAATGACTTTCATTCTCAAATTAATGTTCTGAACGAATCGGTTTAGTGAATGCATAAATGCAGCCACTTGTTGCCACCTACTGGCGTAACAGCATAACCTGCAGAAAGAACGACTGGAAAATCCCCACCATAATGTGCAAACTGACAATCTGTAAAGAGCAATGAAAAGTCCTAGTGCTGTTGGAACGTTGCTGTTTTATAGACTGTAGCGCCAGTTAACACTGGACCAGTCAAAAAAGCTAAATGAAACACGATGTTGAGGATTTCCAGGAACCCTGCACATACACATTAACAGAATATCATCTATTCTTTAGGGCAATAAGGACCCAGTGTCTTCTTGTAACCAAAAAGCCACAACATCTCATGAAAGTCCTAGTGCTGTTGGAACGTTGCTGTTTTATAGACTGTAGCGCCAGTTAACACTGGACCAGTCAAAAAAGCTAAATGAAACACTTCCAGGAACCCTGCACATACACATTAACAGAATATCATCTATTCTTTAGGGCAATAAGGACCCAGTGTCTTCTTGTAACCAAAAAGCCACAACATCTCATGACCATTTAAATCTATAATGCAAAAGCAGAGGATACATACATTTTCCACTGAAAATAGGTCATTTAACAAAAGCAATAAAAAGTCATAGCCTACATAATGTTGTAAATCGAAGCACATGCTTCGGTTTGATCTCATTTAAAGCGGTTCAACAAATCCAAAACATTCGAATCATTTTAATATCAAAACTAAATCATCCTGGATGCCTGGATTTACATCTTTATTGTATTGCATTTTGCATGTGAAACAGAGAATGAGCTCTGCCAAGAAACAATTTTGAATTTGCATGGAGTAAGCAGCAATTCTACAACAACAGCCCTCACAATTTTACTCCAAAGTTTGTTTTGATTCTACTTGCCTTGCATAACTGAAAGCGTAGCTGTCATCTTCCATCAGGTATAGCCTACTTTCCAGGTCACTTCTTCCATTCGTATCAGCTGCCCATCACATTTTTGTTTGTTTGGATTTTCTAATTCAATGAAGCATCATTGAAGAGTTATGAACTTTATCTGTACAAAAACAATCTGTTATGCTGCTTTATACTGCAAACTGGTATTTGTAATATGTTTTAAAATGTATCATAATTATTACAAATACTGCCTTGTAGCACAAACAGTTTTACGGTTTACTGCATTTCGTTATTCTTTACTTATTTACTGTAGCTAATGAAGCAGAAGTCTCGCATATTCAAAGAAAATGGCTTACTCTTTGCATTGCACATAAGGTGGATGCAAGAGTAAAAATTACTTATTGAAAAAAAACTAAGATTATTGGAGTATGTTTTTTAAAGAATATTCAGTCTTCCTACTTCAAAATTACACATTTAATTTAGTGTTACTTGGGTTTATTTGTAATTATTGTCAAATGTACGTGCCATTTCTGCATGAAAATTGTTTTTAAATTTTATATAAGCTACCTATATATTTTTAAAATATCATAAATTAAGAAAGTGATATTAAAAGAACAAATTTAGTATAAACCTTATTGATGATGCACATTTTGTACAGGAAATCGGATGAGCCCAGAATATAAGCGCAATGTGCAAAGTTTCACATTAAGTGTTTGCCCATATAGGGCTCATCTGCTTGTCTTTATAAAGTATGCATCATCAAATTTCTTTTGATAGGTGATCTAATATTTGTGGCTTGGAAACAGATGGAAAATTGACAGGCTTGTGCTGCAGTTCTATGGATGTTTTGTCCTCCAGGTCTTCGAGCCAGTCACGTGACTGAAACCTATAGGTTATTGAGGAAAGTGTGTTGATATTACAATTATATTCTAGTTTAGTTGATTCTCCTAAACCGTGTTTTTAAAAAATCATGCTTTTTTTTTCTCCGGGACTTTGACTTACTTACCTGGTTCCCATGGCAATATGTGCACTATAGGCAATCTCAATATCTCACAACACCGTGAACGGCCTGATAAACCGGTTCTGCCTACAAAGACAAAAGACTGACTTCTAGAGCCCAAGAGAGAGGAGTGTCAAATACCTGCACAGCTATTCAAGAAGTTAACACCACTTGTGACTTCTAAAGCAGGTTTTGTACTTTTCTGCCTGAAACTGGATGTTTTTCTTCAATTTGATACTCAAAACTAATAATCTACACTCATCTGCTTGGGGTCATTCTTAGCAAGTAGGCCTATACTGTCAATAGCTAAGGTTTAGCGCGCATTCCACTGACGAATGGATGTGTTTCAAAACTTAGTAACCTGTCTAAATAGACGGCATTTTGGGAGATAGTATGCCCAAAAATGCGGTCTAGCACACCCCTAGGGGGGGCGTTCACACCGGGCGCGTTTTTTTCGGTGCTTTTCGGTTTATGTACGCATGCGTCAGACGGACCTTGCGTCGCGTCTCCAGCGTTTCGCGTCAAACTTTTGAAAACGCGCCCCGAGACCCTTGTGTTCTATTCCCCTAAGATGCCCCAACCCCTGTCTGAGTAGGCAGCTGACTAGATTTTGAGACAGCCCATTTTCACAGTGACAATTCGCGTTCAAGAAGGACTTTCCTGAATTGCCGGTAGAGCTGTCTGAAGCCAAGGAGGAAACATCATGTGAAGTTTTCAGAAGAATTTGGATTGTTTGGGGGGAAGCCTTTTTGAAAGAAAAAAAAACCTCTACAAGACAAAGAAGTTGGGTTAAACCCAGTTCGGCTCAGGGAGAATAGACTAATGGATCGTGTTTCGTAAAGGCATTACTGACTCCGTACCGGTGTGTCGACGAATGCAGGTAAGAGATTCATCGCGTTTATGTTGTAACGTTAATCTCTAACTCTATTCAGTTTGTTTCTGTCTTTGTGTGCGCACCTGCAATAAGTATTAGGTTTCGTCTTTTTCGTCGTAGGGGAAGTCCAAGATTTTGTAATGTTTAACAAGATTTTTCAGTAGATATCAAAAATTGAACAAATAAAAAAATGGGTTTCCCCTGAATAGTCTATTACACGCAAGCGTGTAACCCATACGTATACACTGGAATGGAATTTTATAGATATGAGGCTATACTAATAATGGAAGCTCGGCTCATTTCCGAGAATCGGTTCTTTCGAACGGTTCGCTTTAAAACGATTCAGTGATTCTATTATGTCACAACGCAATAATCTTTATCGCGTATTAGAAACTCCGTGTCCGGCAAGTAACTTTGTACCTAAATACAATTTGTTACAATAAATGAGCGTTATTTTTGAATAAAAATGCAACTTATTAATCAGTCGACCTGCTGAAGAACCTCTCAGACCGATACAGTCCTATTCGCGAACGAATCGTTCAGTCAATTGATTCACAGAAAAGTTTCGACCCAAAACAACTTCGCTATTATATGCGTTCTAAAAGCGGTATTTTGTTATCATACAGACCTAATTTTCTTAATAAGCATTACATCACATGGAATCTGTATCTCTTGATGGCTCTTCAGACGGTGTAAGGGTTATTTTTGTCCTGTAGCGGAGATGGGGGGCTGTTGGAGATGGTGCTACACGTCGTGCATCTGCTGCTTGTCTGAAGAGGAGAAGAACGCCGTCGTCATACACAATGAAATCAAAAGAATCCTTGCAGACCAGAAGAAACGAGAACGCAGAGAAATCAAAGTGCTTTTATTAGGTGAGATGCTTTAACTATTAAAGTGTTTATATATTTAAAAGTGATTAGAAGCACAACTGTGGACACTGAAAACATCAGCAAAGGAGCTGAAGACTTTCGATGTGGATAACAGGTGAGTCGATCATTGAGTCATCTTAACTGTGAAGGGAGTGAACCATTGTCTGGAAAATACTTGTCTATGCATGTTTCTACTGATGCAGTGAAATTGAAATATGTTTTTTTTTTTAAGTTGGCATAGCATGGACACTGGTTTATGCCAAATTACAGCCTGTACTAATAGTTTTTTTTTTTTTTTGCATTACTGTTGAAGAACATCAGCGAACCTGAATGACAGATTGTAGTTGTGGCAAGTTAAAATGTGGGAATAAAGGTGTTATAACTGCTTGACATGTCACGTTACCTACTCATTATTGTTGTGGCACCTACATGGAGACAGTTGTAGATGGCGAGTTAGTTAGTATGATTAATATCTTTATCAGCTTTCAAATTTGCCATGTGAGGTCTTGAGGGACACATTCTTGAGTGATCAAGTAATCAGGGAATGCTTGCCTTCTTGCCTTCTGTGGTAATGGAGTGGGTAAAAACTGCTCACACTGATTTGATGTGATGTGATGTGTGATTGTTTGCCTGTCAAATATTTGCCATTTGAGGAATGGCAAGAACAGCCTGAGTCACTGGCAACTGTCTGCTTAAATCACTTAAACCAAAACAATTAACAGTTGGAGACTTCACAGCAGAGAATGTCCCCTGATAGTGGAGGACACCTCGGTTCAAAGGCATCCAAACACGTCTGGCTGCATGCTTCCTGACCGTCTCCAGCTGTCAGTCTAAACACGATTAAAACATCTCGCTTTGTGGCTTCTCTGTTAACAGGGCAGAAAACATTCCTTTGTGTGTGAATCGTATGTTATCATTGCATGTTGCATTCCTTTCGGTTCTCCATTTTTGTCATACCATGACCTGGTTTCAGAACTAGTGTTTGACATTCCTATTCTGCTTCATGTAATATACTTTTTTTTCAGGCACCGGAGAAAGTGGGAAGACGACTTTTATCAAGCAGATGAGGATTATTCACGGCAAGGGCTTTTCTGAAGAAGACAGGCGTGGCTACACTAAACTGGTTTTCCAGAATATCTTCACAGCTATGAAGGCTCTGACAGCGGCCATGAACACATTAAAGATTCCCTATGCTAACCCGCAAAACGAGGTAACCTGCCAGAGAAAATCTCTGATTGCTTCCGAATCCCTCACAGTTTTAAATCTGAAATTAAATGCACAACGTTCCTTTGAAACGCCCCCTGATAGCACAATTTACACAAGCAGTTAGTACCTGTTTCACACACCAGGTTTCATTAAAAATTAAAATTAGCCCATAAATTACTCACCCTCAAGTCATCCTAGGTGTATATGACTTTATTCTTTCAGACGAATCCAGTCGGAGTTATATTAAAAATTGTCTTTGATCTTTCAAGCTGTTTAATGCCACTCAGCGGGTGTTGCATTGCTTCAGTCCAAAAGCACTTAATTAAAAAGCGCCCACCCTTAAAAAAAAAGTGTCTCACATGGCTCCGGGGGGTGAACAAAGGCCTTCTGTAGCGAATCGATGCATTTTTGTACGAAAAATATCCATATGCAAAACATAATAATCACTAATTAGAAGTACAAAACGAGGATTTGTAAAGAAGAATGCCGGAGAATTTCAATATAAGCCAAGAGGAGACTGGTTTTCCTTTGCTAAAGTAATGAAACTTTGCTTCCTTTGATCCTGTAAACAAACGTTGGTTTTCACGAGACTCACCGGCGCATGCGCAGCGCTGAACTCATACGTCATCCGCCCGGAACTGCTTCTGTGTACAACTGTTGGCGCAAGCAAGATTAAAGTGATTATTACGCTTTGAATCTGGATATTTATCTTACAAAAACGCATCGATTCTCTACAGAAGGCCTTTGTCCCCCCCGTGACACTTTTTTTTATGGATGGGTGCATTTTATTTAACTGCTTTTGGACTGATGCATGCAACACCCGCTGAGTGCCATGAAACAGCTTGAAAGATGAAAATGTTTTATATAACTCCGACTGGATTCGTCTGAAAGAAGAAAGTCATATACAGCTAGGATAACTTGAGGGTGAGTAATTTATGGGCTAATTTTCATTTTTGGGTGAACTAACCCTTTAAGATCACTACTGAGTTCGTATGGGCGGGGTAATTCAATCAAAATAATGTACATTAACGTAAATACTTAAATTCTGTACATTTAAATATACAAATCAACTTTTATGTAAGTGTATATATATATATATATATGTATGTGTGTGTGTGTGTGTGCAAATTATACCTAGCTGTGATAGCTGTGACAGCTGTCCTTTCAAATAGACCAGGAATATAGAAAGCATCCACACAATATTTATATAAACAAGCCTCATTTTTTGCCATTTATCTCCTTAGATCTATGGGAAACAGTTTCAGGAAGTGGAAATCCGTCAGATGACACATTTAGACAAAATGTATGTGGATGCTATCCGCCGACTTTGGGCTGACGATGGTATCAAGGGCTGTTATAGTCGTCGTAGAGAGTACCAGCTTCTGGACTCTACAGAATAGTAAGTATCTATATAAAAAAACTGGCGATAGATAAACTGGGATCAGGACCCTGACGCAAAGCCTTATATCACTCTTGGGTTGATTTTACAATATCGACCAGTTGAAGGTATATTAGCATGTTTATTACATGAATACATATCAAATAAATAAATACATGGCCATGAAATTCTGATTTGAGAGACAGCAGAATAATACAAAAAACTGAACTGAATATTTATTATTACATTTCTATTAAATGTAGTATTTGAAGTGTCTATATTCTTAGAATTATAAATTAATTATAATATCATCTAATATATACATTTATTAACTAATGTATTTGTAATATTATATTATTAAATTAATGTATTAAATCTAAAATGATCAGTATTAGAATTACAGTTATATAATTACATTAATAATATTAACAGCAAAACTGATCTAATTATTAGTATTAAAAACTAAATAACTAACTACTTAATAACTAATTACATAATAATGATCATAATTACAATACTAATACTAACATTTTATTAATATACTATATTATTAATAATTTGTATAGTACGTAAATGAATAAATTAAATTGTATATATATTTAATGAAATGTAGTATTTCTATCTGTATTTTATAATTAGAATATATTTATATTATATATTTTTATTATTTATATTAATATGCATTGTATAATTTTATTAGCTAAATTATTTGTAATATGTTATATGTATTAAATCATATATGATCAGTATTAGAATTAGTTATATAACTACATTAATAATGTTAACAAATATATTTCTAACATACATTAAAATGACTGTTATTACATCAATACTAACATATAATATTAATACTAATGTATTCATATTAACAGGAATTTTAGCAGTTAATTTTTGTCAAATGGTTATGTATATAATGTTTATGATAAAAACCCCAAAATGGTTTGTGCAGATCCAAAGGACACCATTGGAGGGCAATACAGCTGTATCTTTAGACAAGCATGCAAATCCAAGCAAGTCAGTATTGCAGTAAACCACTCAGTTGCATCAAATATTATTGAGTTATCTTTCTGTTCTCTTCTTTGACGATGATTGATGTGTTGTCTTTCATTTTAGTCATATATTATTAACACATTTTCACTCTTCAGATTGTTATAAGATGAATAATGTGTGTTTTTGTTTTAAAGTCGTTAGCTCACTTGAAACCTGTTGAATTAAGGCAGTATTGCATATTGTTAAGCACATTTCCTGTAAAGTACATCAGTGTGTTCTTGTTAATCGTTAATTTATAATCACTCCTTTACACAGTTATGCGTGTCCTTCTCGTACTCTCTTCCTGCTTCCCCGATCGTGCTTTCGGTTCTGCAAACCTGGCCATGATAAGAAACACAAACAAGCCAGGACGTTTAATTAAACTGCTGTCTAAAGCACAAACACCAATAAAGCAAAAGGCAAACATCATGGCACTTTATCACACTCACACAGTTGTAAAATGTCACACTAAACTATGTTGCTTTTTTTTTTTAGCTATATGACAAATTTGGACCGTATTGCGGCCCCAGACTTCATCCCCACAGCCCAGGATGTGCTCCGAGTCCGATTCCCCACCACAGGCATCAACGATTACTCCTTCAGTGTGGAGAAGATCACCCTCAGGTACAGTAAGGAACATTTTATAGAATTATATTATTTCATTTTCAAGTCAGTTTTTTTTTAATTGTTTTTTTTTATTTTTATATTTTATGATTTAATATTATTTATTTTTAATAATAGCTCACCCAAAAATGAAAAATAAAAAATAAAAGAATGCTGAAAATGTACTCACCCTCAGGTCATCGAATATGTAGATGAGTTCGCTTCTTCGTGGGAACAGATTTGGAAAAATTACATCACTTGCTCACCAATGGATCCTCTGCAGTGAATGGGTGCCGTCAGAATGAGAGTCCAAACAGCTGATAAAAACATCACAATAAACCTTAAGTACTCCACACCACTCCAGTCCATCAATTAATGTCTTGTTTCTAAGAAACAAATCCATCATAAAAATTTGCAACCATCACTTCCAGCTAAAATACGAGTCTTCTATCCATATTTCTTCCTCCAGTGACAATTTGTGTAGTCTGAATCAGGAGAGAAATATGCACAGATCAAGTACTGTTTACAAGCACAAACATTTAAAAACAAAAATGTTTTTTGATGTAAGAGGGCAACAGGGGATGGACTTTTTCACTGGAGGAAGCATTATTATGGATTATGGACAGTTATTTTGTCCATAAGTGATGGGTTGAAAATATCTTAATGATGGATTTGTTTCTTAGAAACAAGATATTATTTGATGGACTGGATTTGTGTGGATTACTTGCGGATTATTGTGATGTTTTTATCAGCTGATTGAACGCTCATTCTGACGGCACCCATTCACTGCAATGTATCCATTGGTGAGCAAGTAATGTAATGCTAAATTTCTCCAAATCTGTTCTGATGAAGAAACAAACTCATCTACATCTTGGATGGCCTGAGGGTGAGTACATTTTCAGCAAATTTTCATTTTTGGGTAAACTATTCCTTTAATTCAAGAACCCCCTGCGGTTTCCTCACAAACCTCCAGGGATTTGCGAACCCAGTTTCAGAAACCCTGGTGTAAGAAAAGTGGTGTTCAATAATAAGATTTCATTTCTGCCTGGCAACTACCTAGAAAACCATGGCAACAGCCAGAGGCGGACAGTAACTAAGTACATTTACTTGAGTATTGTACTTAAGTACACTTTTTGAGTATCTGTACTTTACTTGAGTATTATTTTTTGTGGGAACTTATGACTTTAACTTCACTACATTTGAAAGACAAATATTGTACTTTTCACTCCACTACATTTCTATCAAGGTCCTCGAAGTAGAAAGTCTTTACTACTGTATGTAGCAGCTTTGGTATCTGGAAGTCAGTGGGTGATTTTTTTTTTCTCTAAAATGTGACTTTCTTTTTTTCAGACAGTTTATCAGTAATCACTCTTGTA